CATGTACAGCTTGTCTAGGAAAGGAGATGCAAAATTGATTTCTCTACAGAACAATGAATTATGTATGTCACCTATGCTCCACATCATTGGTAGCAATAAAGACAGTATTTTGTAGGATCTTACGCTAATGGTATTACGTATAATGGTATTATACATGAGCTTGAATTAAGTATGTCCATAGTAGAACTCCTAGAAGCAGCTATGAATAAGTTTCTGAATTTCCATGCATTTGGTATAATGCGATATTATTGTTTTTAATGGCCAGAAGTAGTATGAATGACAGACTTGCACCACAAGTCATACTGTATTTTAAATAACCTAAAGAATTGTGATACAGTGGTACCTCACGTTACATACGCTTCAGGTTACAGACGCTTCAGGTTACAGACTCTGCTAACCCAGAAATAGTACCTCGGGATAAGAACTTTGCTTCAGGATGAGAACAGAAATCGCGCAGCGGTAGCGCTGCAGCAGCGGGAGGCCCCATTAGCTACAGTGGTGCTTCAGGTTAAGAACAGTTTCAGGTTAAGAATGGACCTCCGGAACGAATTAAGTACGTAACCAGAGGTACCACTGTAATAGCACAAAAAGTAATTTGGTTAATCTTTTTAGAAAGTGCTTAATAGTATTAACAAAAAAATAAATTTAAAGCACCTCCAATCTAGAAGTGATGTATAAAAACGAATGCCCTAACTAAGGTACAATCTGGTACTTGCATGTATTTTTTTCTTTTTATCTATTGGATGGTGTATATAAAAGAATTTTAAAAGAATTTTCTGTGCAGTTTTTGTAAAAGCCATTGATATTTATTTTGTAATAATAAGCTAAAAAGATAATAAAGCTCACAGTTAAACACCACTGATTAAGACACGACAGCTCACACAACTCACCGTATAGAAAGCATGGAGTTCTACAAACTTGGGACTAACTTTCCTCTGCGTATTTTAACATTACCTAGTGGGAACCAGAAAAAAGCTGACTCTGATCAGGCTGATTAGAGTGCCTTGTTTCAGTATGGTTTTAATCACAGAATTTGAAGATATCTAGTCTCTTCCCCTGTCGATACCATTAGGAAATTTCTCCTAGCATTTATCCAAAATCTGCTTCCCTTAAAGTCTGCTCCATCTTCTGTGTGACCACTGTTCAGATAGAGTCAACGATCATGCCTGCCTTTAATCTTATCTTCTGTACAACTGTGCAATACTTTATAGTGGAGAATGCAAAAAATATTGCTGAGCAATAGCTGGGCTGGTGCTGGTGATATACAGCCTCAATTAGAGAACTTATTCACCCAGTCTAAGCTTTTTTTAAAAGCCTTTCCATTGGTGACATTTCCATTTAAAGAATGAATGATGTTTTAAAGCACGAAAAAATTCTGAACCCGTCCCCCTCCAAAAAAACCAAAACACCCAGCAGCAGCTAGCACCCCTCATCCAAAAGGGGTAGTTCACCCATCTGACACACCCAGCTTCATCCACTCAACATTTCCCCAGGTGATCTTTTTTTCCTTCAAGATGCAACAATTCAGAAAGCAGTTCTCTTACACAACCCACTGAAATGAAGGGGGAGCCATGCAAGACCACATTTGTCCCCAGTGTTCCAATGGAGACTGCACAGGAGAAATTCCCACTGGATTGGGGCTTTAGAATAATTTAAGGGTGCATCAAACTTGGACCACTAACCCAGGGGTCTGCAACCTTTAAGACAAAAAGAGCCACTTGGACCCATTTCCGAAGAAAAAACAACAACTGGGAGCCGCAAAACCATTGCGACATTTAAAACAAATATATCTCCGGAGCCGCGATCTGACAGCGGGCGGGAAGGTGACGTCGGGACGGTGCGTGACTAACGCACGCATCGCCCCCATGCGACATCACAGCCAGTACAGCGCCCGCCACAGTTAGGAGTGTCGGGGTGCACAATGCGCCTCCTCCCCTCGCTAGTATCCGCCCCGGAGCCGCGGCAAAGATGTAAAAGAGCCACATGCGGCTCCGGAGCCGCGGGTTGCAGACCCCTGCACTAACCCTAAACACAGCACATGCTACTTAGCATAAGTGGGGTTTACTTCATTAGTAACGGGTTTATAAAAACATGTCCTAATTTTAAGCCCACTCCTCCGGAAAAACTGCTGACCACAAAGACTGATAACATCTGGAGCAACGAGCGAGAGCTGCTTCTGAATCAAACCTGTCAAGGATTTAGTGGCGCCCCTTCCAACACGAAGGACTGAAGCTCCTTAGGGCTATTAATCAATCATGGCTTAAATGCACCAGATGCTTGATAAAAGCTATAAGCCAGCCTCCCACAGCCTGGTGCCCTCCACATGTTGTGGACTACAACTGACTTCAGCCCCAGCAAGTATGGACAATGGTCAGGGATGATGGGCATTGCTGTAGTACACAATATCTGGACAGTGCTACACTGGGGAAAGGCTGTGCTAAGAGAGATTTTATTGAACCGTATGCATTTTCATTTGGCAGTGTATCGTTTCTCCCTCTCTCACATTCTACTCACAGATCCAGCTGAAATGTGCAGAATGAACAACTGATAATGTACAAACACTTTCTACAAAGCTAAGCACACATGCAAATGGAAATAATCAGTATCTGCAAAATCATGACAGATTGCATCCCGGACAAAAAAAAAATGAGCCAGCAAGATGAAAGTTACTCCCTGAGGATTATTTCGTTGAGGTCACTGTTGCAACAGTCTGCTAATTCTCAGTGAACAGCTTCCAGCGGGGGCACCTCATATGAACTTCAGGCTCCAATGCTAACCACATTTGACCTCAGTCTGTGTGGAAAGCAACACGCTATGAGGGGTCTGCATAGCGTCTCTGCTACAAAATCAGACAGAAAGCAAACTCGGAAGTCCTAGCCCAGTGCAAATTGTATAGATGGTTGTGAATTCATTTAATTTTCTCTTCATTCTGAAGCTTAGGCACAATTCCCAGTTAAAAGTGGTTTTCCGTGTCCAGCTGCTATAACTTTTTGCCCTCAGTAGAAGGAATGTGTGAAAATGCTCCAATTCAACAATAGTTATCAAATTCTAAGATATCATCTGAGAAACAATAGATGACAAAGATTGCACATTACAGGATAGGCCTTTGAAATGGCAGGGTTAATTGCTGCTCCAACACGGATTAATTCAAGCCAAACCCTATTTCATATTTTTCTTCCAAAAGCTTGGGGAGGACATACAGTTGTCTCTGCTCCCCATCTCCTGCATTGTGTTCTCACAATTCTGGGCATCTGGTATGCCTCATGGCAGAAGAGATATTCAAACCTAAGCTTCCCTGCTCCTACTTCAACACTCAGCCATGCTGGCTCCTGGTGTTACACCATAAAAAGGTCAAAGATAAAGGTAAAGGAAGAAGAGTTTGGATTTGATATCCCGCTTTATCACTACCCCAAGGAGTCCCAAAGCGGCTAACAATCTCCTTTCCCTTCCTCCCCCACAACAAACACTCTGTGAGGTGAGTGGGGCTGAGAGACTTCAGAGAAGTGTGACTGGCCCAAGGTCACCCAGCAGCTGCATGTGGGGGAGCGGAAACGCGAACCCGGTTCCCCAGATTACGAGTCTACCGCTCTTAACCACTACACCACACTGGCTCTGGACCCCTGGATGGTGCCTGTAAGATAACTTTTCAGATCAGTCCTACTTCTCAGTGTGGTTTCCTACCCTTCCGCAAGTAAAACCATAAGTATGAACAGGTGAATGTAAAGGTAAGGTAAAGGTACCCCTGCCCGTACGGGCCAGTCTTGACAGACTCTGGGGTTGTGCACCCATCTCACTCAAGAGGCCGGGGGGCCAGCGCTGTCCGGAGACACTTCCAGGTCACGTGGCCAGCGTGACATCGCTGCTCTGGCGAGCCAGAGCTGCACACGGAACCGCCGTTTACCTTCCCGCTAGTAAGCGGTCCCTATTTATCTACTTGCACCCGAGGGTGCTTTCGAACTGCTAGGTTGGCAGGCGCTGGGACCGAGCAACGGGAGCGCACCCCGCCGCGGGGATTCGAACTGCCGACCTTTCGATCGGCAAGTCCTAGGCGCTGAGGCTTTTACCCACAGCGCCACCCGTGTCCCGGTAAAGGTACTCAAAGGAAAAATCTTGACTTCTCCCCTGGTCCTGGCTGCACTCCCCAAGGCTGAACCATGGCATGGCTCAACAACACATTCAAACCCATGGTTATGGTTTGTCTCCTCCAGTCAAACGATGAGCAATAAGTCAAGAACAAGCCTTGGCTATAATTTATGGTTTCACTGGAGTGAGACAAGCCATGAGCCTCAGTCTGGATGTAACGCTAAGCCAAATTATGGTTTTGCTTTGAATAGCAGGGTCAGGGGAGGAGCAAAGCAGCCACGATTTTTCCTCAGAGAACCTGCATGGTCTCGCGCTCATGCTTAGCCATGGTTTGCAGAGTGTTATGTGAGATCTGGACTTCTGATTCTTGACATTGTCTCCAATAGCAGCATGCCAGGTGTCCTGTAAAGCACATAAAAAGAACCTTCCTCTGATGTCCTGCTCATCTAATGATCAAGATACTCTGGAGTTTCTACACAACTCCCATGGCTAATATCCAGTCAGCCCTACATTTTTATTATGACCCTGGTGATCTACTAAAATTTAAATATAAATTATGTGAAGCAGCAATTGCTTTTGTTAGTCCCAAGCCCATCAATAACATTGAATGATCCAAAGTTCTAGTGCTTCAAGAGTAAATGAGTTTCTCTCTGTTAATTCTCTGTGCACTGTTCAACTACTGCATATTTTTGAAAGTTGTTTATTTGCTATACATTTACTAAGGTATCCAACCAAATTCTGAGCAACCTGTCAGACATTTCAACTGGGATTATTAACAGAGTTAACCCTGTGATATTTATTACAGCATACAGGTAAGGAAAATCCTTTCAGGACCTTTCCGCACAGAAAACACATATTACAGATGGAGAAAATTATACTTTTGTGACAGGAACAAATAAAGCCTCTTTCATACAAACCTGGCCATTTGTTTATATGCTTCCTCAGCCACAGCAAAGATGTGGGGATCCATATCCCCCATGTTCTGGCCACTGTACGCATTGATGATATCTTCGCCATAGATAGGCAGTTGTTCATAAGGATTTATGGCTACTAAAACTATACCTGCAAAATAAAATTAGGGGGGAAATTATGAGATATGTTGTTGGCAAATATTAAATAGAAAAGAAAGTGGGGAGTTCTATTTTAGAGAAAATTTTGCTCTGCATGAAATTGTTCAAAACTTGTTTCCGCCCCTTTTGTATTTGTTTCATGAAAACAGAGGTCATGAGGAATATAAAGCTAAACAGGTATATAGGTGACCATTTATCACTCTGAAAACCATGCAAAGGGTGACTAATTTCCATGCAGAGTGTCAGCTGAAAGCATTTTCCTGGCTTCTGAGTCTTCATGACTTACAGTAGGTCACAGCCCAGCTTAAAAAGATTTCAAGTAGGTGATTGGCAGGGAAAGAGCTGTATTACCTCCTTCTGTTTCCTGCCTACTCCAGCACCTTTGACTTATCCACAGACTAGGAGAGATGAAGATTCTCAGCAGGTGGGGAATCCGATTTCCAGTTCAACAGTATCTCAAGCAGCAGGGCTGGGAAAGACGTCTGCCTGAGACCTTGGCAAGCCACGGGCCAATCGCTACAGAAGGCAATAGTGGACTAGAGGGGCCAACAGTATGACACAGGGTAAGACAGGCTCATGTAATTACAGTGGTACCTCGGATTAAGTACTTACTTCATTCTGGAGGTCTGTACTTAACCTGAAACTGTTCTTAACCTGAAGCACCACTTTAGCTAATGGGGCCTCCTGCTGCTGCCACGCCACTGGAGCATGATATCTGTTCTCATCCTGTAGCAAAGTTCTTAACCTGAAGCACTATTTCTGGGTTAGCGGAGTCTGTAACCTGAAGCTTATGTAACCCGAGGTACCACTGTATAGTCCAAATGAAGGAGAGATACCACGATCTGTGCAAGAGGTGCTGTAAGACATTTTGGACATCAGAGTGTTTATCTCAGATTTATTAGATAACCACCCTGTTTGTCAGCTTTCAAAGGGGCTATCGGAACTATATGCAGGCAGCCTTTCCAAGAGCCCTAGGCACATTCTACACTCATAGGTCAAAAGTAGCCATGTTTAGCCAAGCTCTGCCTGTCTGATTCTAAGAGCTCTTCTACAGACAGGCACACAAGGCAGCAGACCACCTTGCTTCCACAGCTGTTTTTCTCTCCACTTACCAGCTAATTTCCCCTGGGAGTTGGAAGGCTACGCAGAGAGATACAGGGACAGAAACAAAGAGGGAGATAAGTGGCGGTTGACGCCTGCTTCCCCCTAGGTTTACAATCCCCATTAACTTTCTCTGTCTGCCTCCCTTCAAAACTCTCACCAGCCAGAGTTTGGCTACATGTGACTAAATGTAATGAGTGTAGCAAACCACAGGCTCTAAGCTACGGGTAGACAAACTAAGGCCCGGGGGCCAGATCCGGCCCAATTGCCTTGTAAATCCGGCCCACGAACAGTCCGGAAATCAGCGTGTTTTTACATTAGTAGAATGTGCCCTTTTATTTAAAATGCATCTCTGGGTTATTTGTGAGGCATAGGAATTCATTCATTATTTTTTCAAAATATAGTCTGGCCCCCCACAAGGTCTTAGGGACAGTGGACCGGATCCCTGCCTGAAAAGGTTTGCTGACCCCTGCTCCGCTTTAGAGATCCAGCTACCTTTTTCAAATGCTGTTTATCCACTTAACTGACTGCAATGCCTTATAACCTTTCCACAGTTTTCTTTCTTCCTGCATTGTTTCCTCAAATAGCTGCCTCCACATGATCTTTCATGTGGTCCAAGAAACAACTTGAGAATGAGGTGAATCTATTGTACCCTTTCAGCCACCAAATTAGGTGTGGGGAGAAGCTCTCTAACAGCAGATAGTTAGTAGAGAGACCAACTAAGGCTCTTCCCTATACCTAGCCCCATACCACATTTTGCAGATGTGACTTACAGTCACCCATAGTTGGAAACTCATTGTATGCAGTTATTACCAAGAAAATTGTCAAATTTATTTTGGCATTGTTTTCTACAGGAGTAACTATGAACACCACCTACAGATAATTGGTTCTCTGCCACTACGCTCACACCATATCTAGATGAGCATTTCAAGACATATTGTCCTTCCAGGCTTGTGAGGCCTGCCATTTGTTCATCATTGCATCTGCAGGGAAACAGTGCAGTGGGTACAAGCAAATTTTTATATATACTTATATGCCACTTACATGCCATTAAAGGCTAAATTATAATCAATTATATATAATGCTAAATAATATATAATAAAATTTAGTGTTTAATGACAGTCAGTCATATTAGTTTCTAAAGTAACAAATGCTCTGTGCCATGCATCTGTGGAGCTTTGCAGAGTTTCACAGGATACGCCTCCTTGTTATAGACTGCAATTACATACCGTTCAACAGTCCTGATTCTGCCAGAACAGCCACAGAATAATAATCAATCATAATAATGTTATTATTTATACCCCACCCATCTGGCTGGGTTTCCCCAGCCACTCTGGGGAAACACAAAATAAAAACAGTTAGAACTGGATATGGAACAACTGATTGGTTCAAAATTGGGAAAGGAGTACGACAAGGCTGTATATTGTCTCCCTGTTTATTTAACTTATATGCAGAATTCATCGTGCGAAAGGCTGGGCTGAATGAATCCCAAGCCGGAATTAAGATTGCCAGAAGAAATATCAACAACCCCAGATATGCAGATGACACAACCTTGATGGCAGAAAGTGAGGAGGAATTAAAGAACCTTTTAATGAGGGTGAAAGAGGAGAGTGCAAAATATGGTTTGAAGCTCAACATCAAAAAAACTAAGATCACGGCCACTGGTCCCATCGCCTCTTGGCAAATAGAAGGGGAAGAAATGCAGTGAGAGATTTTACTTTCTTGGGCTCCCTGATCACTGCAGATGGTGACAGCAGTCATGAAATTAAAAGACGCCTGCTTCTTGGGAGAAAAGCAATGACAAACCTAGAAAGCATCTTAAAAAGCAGAGACATCACCTTGCCGACAAAGGTCCGTATAGTGAAAGCTATGGTTTTCCCAGTAGTGATGTATGGAAGTGAGAGCTGGACCATAAAGAAGGCTGATCGCCGAAGAATTGATGCTTTTGAATTATGGTGCTGGAGGAGACTCTTGAGAGTCCCACAGACTACAAGAAGATCAAACCTATCCATTCTTAAGGAAATTAGCCCTGAGTGCTCACTGGAAGGTCAGATCCTGAAGCTGAGGCTCCAATACTCTGGCTACCTCATGAGAAGAGAAGACTCCCTGGAAAAGACCCTGATGTTGGGAAAGACTGAGGGCACAAGGAGAAGGGGACGACAGAGGACGAGATGGTTGGACAGTGTTCTTGAAGCTACAAACATGAGTTTGACCAAGCTGTGGGAGGCAGTGGAAGACAGGAGTGCCTGGCGTGCTCTGGTCCATGGGGTCACGAAGAGTCCGACACAACTAAACGACTAAACGACAAAAGGTGCTTCTGAAGGAATTCCCACCTCAGGGGGTTATGGTAGGGGGAACAGTCTCATGAGGAATCCGCACTTGGAATGAACAGCCCAGGCATTGTAAGAGGGACTTAGAGCTCTGACTCATCCAGGTGCTGGGAAGGGATTTGAGATAGGCTCCCCTTGCAATACTGGGGTAAATCAAAGGCCCAGAGAGGAAGGAGTGGACACATATCTGTGCCCCAAAATATGTTTATTGTGCTCCCTCTTTCCAACATCTTTCTCCAGCCTTGGTAGGCAATGGCTCCCACTCAAGCCACCTGACTCATGTAGCAACGCAGTACCATCCTGATTTTCCCCCCCCCTCAGGAATGTTGGAGGGTATGCAATCATCTATAAATAAATGTTTGATATGAAAGGAGAATGCCAGGAGCCAATTCAGGTGTGCTAACATGCAAGCAGTGGCACAGTTCACCTGGGAAGAAAATAGCGTTTGTTTTTCCGCTCCATGTGAAGCATCCCCAGTGAACAGGTGCCTTCCACCTTTCTCAAAAAACAACATCATTAGGATTGCAGCTCTGAGGCAGAGATGCAAAAGGTTAGAGGGAATAAGTATCTCCAGGGCCTCTTGAAATGCTCTAGTGAAAACGAACACATATACTGAAGTAGCTTTATGTACAACTCAATAAACAGTTTTCAATTCTATCAGTTGTTAGAATGTTCTTGCTAACTAATTATAAATATAACGGGCTAGATTCACTTAAAACTGAAAACCCATTTTAAAAACTTTCTCTTTTTAATTTCAGAAGGTAGAGAGCTAAAACATTCTCCCTGCAAAGGATAGCTTAAAGAATAGAAAGGTAAATGTATTTCAGGCCTTGAAGAAAAATGAACTGTTTTAATAAACTCTTGGTTTTTCCAATAATCCCCAGGGATGAAGAAGAAGAGGAGTTTGGATTTGATATCCCGCTTTATCACTACCCTAGGGAGTCTCAAAGAGGCTAACATTCTCATTTCCCTTCCCCCCCCCCACAACAAACACTCTGTGAGGTGAGTGGGGCTGAGAGACTTCAAAGAAGTGTGACTAGCCCAAGGTCACCCAGCAGCTGCATGTGGAGGAGCGGGGACGCGAACCCGGTTCACCAGATTACGAGTCTACCGCTCTTAACCACTACACCACACTGGCTCTCACATGTTGTACTCCACTCTGCATCAGCCCCAACCAGCATGCCCAATCCCATCAAGGTTGAGTAGAGCTATAGTCCAACAATATATGAGGAACCAAAGGCTCCCATTCTTTGGGATTACACCTCCAGAGTGTAATCCAAAAGAAATGCTGATACTCCGGACTGCTCTATTACTTGGTAGTAAGCCACATTCAACTCAATGGGACTAACTTCCAAGTATGCACACATGTAACTGTACTATTAATATTTTGCCTAATGAAATATCTCTGGAATAAAATCCCTAAGAACACATAAAAGTCTATGTTTATTTTGTTCTACTATGGCAGATCAGGAGTTTAACATTTTGCCCTGCTAGTCAAGATATGCTCAGTGCTGTGTCAACATAGATAAGATCATGTCTTCTCTACCAGTATTAAAAACCAACTGGTCACTGCAGTTTTATATGACCAACTAGGATATGCACCTGAATTCCAAAAATGAGAGCTTTCAGTGGTTTAAAAACATTCAAATTCTACTGATTGCAAAAGGAATACTCCAAGCATTTAAAAAAACTGATGCCAAAAATATATTTTTGTAATCCGGAGTGTGTCACTCGTGACAGTTTTTACAGAACAACATGAAAGAGATTTCAAAACAAATAAAAACAAAAATACCATTGTATTATAAAAGTAGATGCCAAAGTGTGGTAGAATAATTTTTGTTTAAATTAAGTATTTTAATGCAATAGCCCCTGCTACATTTGGCTTTATGGAGGGGCTTCTAGCCAAGATATATCATTTGCTACATTGATTTGTAAAGCCAAAAAATACAGAAGCTACTACAGTCAAAGGCAGAACACAGGAAAGTCAGGCTATGTGGAGCAAAACCAACACAACTATGTGCTAATCATCACAAAGGAAGAACTGCATCCTACGCTTATAGAATGCAAATAAAATAGATTTCAAGAGAATTTAGTTCCAAGTATGGCCACTTCAAACATTATTTACACAGCTTGACTGCTGCTCAAAATCCACATGGTTGTGGTGAAATTTGTTTCCCATGTAAATTGGCTAGACTATAGTAAGAATCTGCATCAGTGTCACAGCTTTGTAAGATGCTGTGCAGCCAAACATTTGCACAGCCACATTAAATCCTGAGCATGCAGAGATGATGTTTTCCCGTTACCATGTTCTGCCAACATTGGAATCATCTCCTAAGCTTACATACCACAGTGGTTTTCAAAATTAAATACATTACTTTTTTAAAAACAGAATCTTCTATGGGATTCCAAAACACCTTATTTTTGTCGTTTTGCAGTTGACATATAATCTGATTTTACATGTTTACATTTAAATAGGAGAGTTTCTTCTGCAAAAAAAGAATCGTTACCTATAGCCAATGGAAACAAACATTTGTTAAGGTTTTTTAGCCTATATTTCAGAAAGGCAGTTTCCAGTTAAGGAACCCATACAAGGATTAATGCATATATGATTAACATTTTCAGTGACAAATCGGTAATAATTTCTGAAGTTTGACTTATTATTTATTATTTGTTCTATATCTGTTTTTAAACTGTTCTGCTTGTTTTTACTTTGTGCTGCTGTTTTAGTCTTGTACTCTTATAGTATTCTACTATTTTATGAGTTTCAGGATGTTATGGTTTAATTTTATTACACAGGATTTTATTTATAAATAGAAAGGATTTATACAAATTTCTGAAAAAGAAACCAAAAACAAACCAACAGGCCCTAAATGCAACATATAACTTAATATATCCATAGCTATCTGACGTGCCCAGCCACATAGGAAAGTCTGGTTTTGTGCTTACCACAATATGTATATATGAGCTTGGAATCTATAAACCGAACTTTCAGGTTATGAAGAACAGCAGGTTCATGGAGATAGCTGAGGGCTGTCAGATCATTTTCACCCACAAGTATGTCAGGGTTTCGCAGGGGTGGTAGCTCCTTGGACTTAGCATCAAGGCTATATTGAAGTTCCTGGAAATTAAATAAGAGCATATATTACATGCATCCAAAATGATCAGACACATCGCTATACATTTTTTAAAAGAAACGTATATGGATGTAGTTGAGTACACATACATAACTGCCAATTTTGTTTACTATATACTGTAAGCCACCTTGAGCACTTGGGTTAGTAGGCAAAATATAAATACAAGCAGCAACAATTTCAGGCATGCCTAATTGATGTGCAATCACCGCCATGCAGGTCCTTTTGAATCCAGAAGAGGGCAGAGCAGAGGCAGAATGGGGGTGGGGCAGAGCTTACGGGGCAGCGCACTCTGACGACGTACACGGGGGCCGGGAATGGAACCCCTGCGCAAAATGGTTGCCACCTGTACTACAAATAAACAAGACCTTTTGCAGCAAATGATAGCAATTTTTTTAAAAAAAAACATGAAAAGAGTTAACATTACCTTGCCATCCTCAACACGAAGATGAAGGACTTTGTCTCCTGATTTATAATCTTTTACAAGTTCTGCTGATTTCCAGACTACTTCTGGATCAGGTATCCAAATCCTGGCATACTGCAAAACAAAATTAAGAAAGGATCAGCTGTATTTTCTAAGCAATTTGGATTGAAATAATACACACACACTAACATTATATAATAATATTTAATAATAATAATTTATTATTTATACCCCGCCTATCTGGATAGGTTTCCCCAGCCACTCTGGGCGGCTTCCAACCGAATATTAAAAACAATACAGCGTCAGACATTAAAAACTTCCCTAAACAGGGCCACCTTCAGTTGTCTTTTAAAAGTAAAATAGTTGTTTATTGCCTTGACATCTACTGGGAGGGCGTTCCACAGGGCAGGCGCCACTGCCAAGAAGGCCCTCTGCCTGGTTCCCTGCAATCTCACTGCTCACAGCGAGGGAACCGCCAGAAGGCCCTCGGCGCTGGACCTCAGTGTCCGGGCTGAACGATGGGAGTGGAGATGCTCCTTCAGGTATACTGGGATGAGGCCGTTTACGGCTTTAAAGGTCAGCACCAACACTTTGAATTGTTTTCGGAAACGTACTGGGAGCCATTACCTTTTTAAAATTTTCAGCCTTGTTATGGGGGGAAATATTTACAGCAAACATGATTGTCTTCAGCTGAATTCAATGAGAACGCTATATTGTAATAATCCAATGAACTGAATTTTATCCCCAGTTGTTAATCCTATGCACTTATTTGAAATCAAGGATGCAATCCTAAACATGGTATCTAGGAAGTGTCTCAAGGGAACTCAAGGGAAATTATGCAATGCCCACAGGTATGTATTGAACGCTTCAAGGCAAAGACAGGCACGAATTATTACCACCACCACTTGAGAAGAATTTCTGGAATTGTTTATTAATGCTAACTTAATAACTACGACTTCCGTGCACTGACTTAATTTTATTAACAGATGTAGCCTATACAGATTGTTAGGAAATTAACAAGTGCTTGGGAATTTTTGTTTTAATTTCACTCCAATGAACCCTAGGTTTTACTGCAGAATATGCCTCCAAGTACTGATGCTATGGACTCCACCAAAAGGACTTCAAGGCAAGGACTGTAGATCATCCATCAGGTTTTTTGTTTGAAGATTCTAATCTAGAAGTGCAATAGCCACTTTCTTTTGAAGAAAGATTATATAGTGGTCTAACTGGAAACTCCTTGTGGAAAGAGCAGACATACTCCTAAAGATTTATTTTCCCCGCCCACATATATAAGTTTTCTCACACAGCACATTCAGTCCAAGACATTCTGGTCCTGAAATCAGAATCCAAACTGTGCCCATCCCTCCACAAAATGCACCATTGTTGTCATATGCATCCACACAAACAACAGTTATAAATTCACACGTTGCACTAAAAGCATTCATTTAAAAGTTGCACCCTCTCTTCCTAACTTCAAACGTCACCAAAAATCATTACAAACTGTGCTCTGAGGTCCTGGTTACAGACAAACAAACGCAGCTTTGCACTAAATGATTTGGCTGTAACAACCAGCTGTGCCACTAAATCAGGAGGGGATGCGAGCATGTGAAGCGGGAGGGGAGGACTAAGCATACGAGTAGTCATGGAGCAGCAAACCATAGCTTGCCACTGCATCAGAATGAGTCCAACATTTCTTTAAAAATTTGTGGAAAATATAGGACTAATTTGACTATTCAGATATTTTGATAACACTCGTATTTCACAAACTCTCAAGCAGCAAGGCTGCCTTTCCATATACTCCATCAGTCCCCGTCTACCAGGGACAGTACCAATTTTTTGTTACCTGTCTCTGAGAAATGATGGCCCCTATTTTTGCCTTGCTGAAATCGTTTTAATGCGAATTGCTAGAATTGCCATTCTTTAGGAATCAGCTCACTCTATCACCACGAGGGAATCTAGAGCTTACATTACTGAGTGGGGATAGAGCATACTGTTTGTAGTTAACACACATATACAAATCCATGTGCTGTGACATCAGTGCAGTATGCAGAACAGTTTTTCATTTCACTTACTGCAAATATTTTGACCTGCGGTAGTGTATTATCAGACAATTATGATTTTCCAATGTATCTTTAACCAAAAGAAACAAATGCCATCTTGGCTTTAAAATCAGTGGATGACGGGCTATTGAAGACTAAATGCAGTGCTGTATAGGAGTTGATTTGGATTCAGGAATGTACCTTTCACACGTATAGCTCTGATTTTCTTCTGTGAAATATTGGAGGCTCTGCCATTCTAATGTATTCTACTTTCTGGAACCTCCAGACACTTTTTTATAGATTCAACTAGTAAAAAAAGCAGCAAAAGTAATAGGATATAAACCCATTCCTGTAGGGCCAGCCCATCCATGAGGCAAGATGAGGCGACCGCCTCAGGCAGCAGGATCCCCCGGGGCAGAAGATCCCAATGTTGATCTTTCTTCCTCTTTCCCTTGTTCCTGATGTAGATCTTCCCTCACCCCTTCTTCCCTGGCGGGGGCGGGGGCAACCCCAGGTACCAAAATGTCTTGAGCCAGCCCTGCACTCCTGACAAAGCATACTTGGTTGTACAATGGCCAGTTTCCTGAAGTAACGTGGCATCTCCTGCTACACCCCTAGGGTGCTCTGCCAAGCAGGCTGGTCTTGCCCATGAATGGACCTGCACTGAGCAACCACTGTGTGCCTTTGCACTTGAGTCTGGAAGTAGAGGAGAGGCTGGCACATACCTGGGTGTGAGGGAGGAAGTACCCCTCAGTTTAAGAAACGTGATTAGACAATACAGAAATGCAGGAGGCAATTCAGTTGGAAGAGCTCTTGCAAAACTACACTAAAAAGGAAGTGGCATTCTGGGCCTTTATGCAGGCAGCTATGCCTGAAACTATGCAGCCAACACCTTGTGAATCTTAGAAGCCATCTGGAAGCAGCCATTCCATCAAGCTGCAGCACTCCATTGGCTCTACCAAGAAACAAGCAACTTTGGGCTTCCCCTCACCTTTAACTTTTTCCATCCCAGCTGTTTGTTATAAGTACTCTGCAAATAAGAACGAGTGTCCAAGTTTTCCTTCTTCCTCCTCCTTCCCAATCCCTTTTCCTTTTTTTACTGTGTCTTTCCTTTCAGCACTGACCTTTGAAAGCCACTGTGGGAGCCTTTTTTGGCTGAAACCAGAGTTGTCGAAAATCATTGGCGAAAGGGTGGTTTCAGTTCCCCAACGGAAGAGGATAAGTGATCCTTGGTGTGAATACGAGTATTGCAAAAGGGTTCTGTTATATCTATGAAGCACTGGGAGGGGAAGTTTCTGTTCTTCAAACATAGCACAGCAGATGTTGAAGTCTTATGAAATGCCTGTAGATGCCCTGGGTAATCCTGGAAGGGGGTCAAATAAATGCTAACCACACTAAAGAGAAAAAAGAACAACTGGACCTATAACCTAGAGACAGTTCCTCCACAATTATGAAGCTTTATGACTCTTGGAACCACTTCTAAAGTGGGTGCACGTGATTTAATGGACAAGCTTATGGCAGACAAAACCAGGAACTACTTGTCATCGAATACAGAGCAAGCATTTGTTTTCTTTTTCTGTATTCATAAAAAACCCATTGTGTTCCATAGCAGAACTTAAAGCATCTAACTTAAAGCCATGCACCACACCGCAACAATACAATAGAATATGGGCCTTTAAATGTGTTTGAAGAGGGGGGTTAATGGTTTGTTTTGTATGCATTCCGTGTTCTCATTTTGTATTCTTTGTGGCGAACCATCCTGTGATCTTCAGATGAAGCTGAATGTGCACAAGTTAAACGTACATAAGTTGAGGGTCTACTGTATTCTCATGCAAGTACAATAGGGAGCTTCGGTGAACTCCAGATTCACTGTTTCACAGCCTGACAAGCCTGACAAGCCCAAGACTCTGTAGCTGCCCTCCACAATGGAGACAAGAAGAAAAATGAAGTGGAAGAAGAAAAATGTGCCTCAGAAGCACCAATAGTTGTGATGTTTATTCTCAAACCACAGCTCCCCCATCCCAATCTTAAACCCAAATATAGACTTAGGTCACCATGCCTACCAGCACCTGCTAATCCAGAGACTGGGAATTTGTGACCCTCCAGTTGTTAGATTCCAACTCCCATTAGCCCCACAGCTAGTATGGCCAATAGTCAGTGATGGTGGGAGGTTTGGTTGAACTATATATGGAGAGCCGCAAGTTCCACATTTCTGTGCAAAAGAAACTAATATTGGTGCCTTTCCTGTGGAAGCTGCTTGAAGCTGAGCGCACATTTTTGCTGCTTTGGCATTCTGACTAGTGGATCTACATTGGGAACTGCTGCCCCAGTGGATCCTGCCGCCTGAGGTGGCCAACTCAGCTGGTTCATGGATGGGCCGGCCCTGGGGAAACTGGGGAAAAGGCACCACTGTAGTACACACTCCACAGAAATACTTGTTTAATACTCTCTCTACTCAGATCTCAAGCAGATAAAGAACTACACAACTTTTAGAAGACATCTGACAGCAGCCCTGTATCAGGAAGTTTTTAAAGTGCTTTTATATGTACTGTAAGCCGCCCAGTCTGATATTTTCAGACCAGTGAAATCAGCAAGGGGCTGTTCATTTAGACAGCCAGAATCTGCACCGACTGAACTGTATAACTGCAGTATAACAACTATAACTTTATTTCTTTCCCAATCCTTTTTTCTTATGTGTCATGTATTTTTAAGAATATAAGCCTAAGGTCACAGACTGTCTTTGTACTGATTTTTGTAAGCTGTTTTGAGAGCCTTTTCGGCTGAAGGGAAGGGTATGAATGCTTTTTAAAAATAAAAACAGGTGCTGGGTATCATTTCTCATTCATATATAAGGCTGTGCCACAATATCATAAGGAGCACCTTTTGAACCTCTGCTTGGAAAACCAAAACACTATCTCCTTGCAACAACAGAGAGAAGGGGAAACCAGATTGCAGATCACCATAGAAACCAGACTGCCAGAGCCAGCTGAGCCTTCCACGTGAGATAGTTAAAAGGATATTAAGATCCTGCTACCACAACCAGAAAATGGTAGTTTTAAACATGCATGCTTCATC